AATGAGGACAAATTTCACAACTTTTTTCTTCAGACCAATTATTCATTTTTCAACTCACTGTTTAAAAAGGAATTCAGAATTTAGAACAGTTATTGTTGAATTGTTGTTTCAGCTAAAAAACGGTTTGATTTGTTCAGAAATTTCAATTCTGCTTTTTGTTTTCACTTCTTTTTTCTTTGATATTTTTATTGTTCTTCTCCTGGTTTACTTTATCTTATTAGAGCTTTTTTTGATTCTATGGAACAGTAACAGTTCTATGTTTGTGTGAGAATTCATAAATGATTGTGTGTATTACTGCAATTATAGATGATTTCAGTAGCGGAAAAAACAACAGGAAGGAAATGGGTGGGGGTTTTCTTCTTTTTTCTTCTAAGTAAAGCATTCAAAAATTGGAATGATCAAAAACGATAATCTTTTGCCGTTTAGCGGGGTTTAACCTTTGGCAATAAATTTGGCACTAAAAATTTTCTTAGCTGATTAAAAAAAAAATTGATTAGTGTTGTGAATAAAAAATAGAAAATTTTTTTAGCATTTCATGTATCATTATTGATTTTGGTACTGCAATTGGCATGGGTATTGGTATCGGTATCAGTATCGGTGTCTGTATGAAGTGTAAAGTTGAAGTAGCTGAAGATAAACTTGTTCAGAAATTGCTAATGTACAAAAAAATTCTGTTGTTGCTCTGTATATTCAATGAAAAAGAATTTAGTGTTTTTTTTCTAATTATTATTTTGTCTTTAAAGAATAGCAGAAAGGAAAAGTTAATTATTTTTTTTGCTTTTTGGATTCAGCATATAGTAAATAGATGGTGTCATGAGGGGTTTTTTGAGGTAGACGAAAAGCTGGTAAACTGTTAGTGCTTGATAATTCAACAGTAATTATACGCTGTAATTTAGTAGAGGACAAAAAAAAAAAAAAGAAAGTTATTGTTTATAACTCTGATAGCAAATTTTGTAAATATTTAGTTGAAAAAGTTGTTGATATATAGTAAAAAGAAAGCAAAAAAGGAAAATTTTTTTTTGCATGATAATATTATTGATAGATAACAGAGTTGTTTTCAACAAATTAGTTAGATTAATTTTTTTTTCGATTTTTCTCCTTTCTTTCTCTATTTTTTTTTTTTTTTTTTTTTTTTTTTTT